TCTTATCACCAACTCATCCTCACCTCCTACCCCATGTTGAGTAACAATTATTCTAAATCCATCTACTTTTATTTATACATATATATAGAATATATCTACTTAACTGTACTTCTTTTAACTTTATTCTAAGGGGATCATGCTGTTTTTTAATTTGGGGAGGTATTCCTTTTTCCCTAATAATGAAATTGCTAAGATCCCTCCATATTGCTTTTCATTATTGTAGTTCATTGATATATGACTGCTGGCTATTATTTAAAATTATGTGCAAGTATGAAAATAGTGATTTAAACCATTTCTGAATAGATAGCATTTTTAGATCCTAATCATGAACCACATCCAGGTTAGCTCAACACTTGAGCCTACTGCTGGCTTAACCACCCTGTCTATATATAAATTTGAATTGTAATTGTGGGTTCTCTAAATGAACAACCTTGCTCCATTTTAAAATTTCAATAATTCCATTGTGTCTGTCTCATATGAGAGTTTTGAGTGCTTCTCTCTGTTCTTCTTTATTCAGAGACATAAAACCCTAAAATTTCACTATAAAGATCGTATCATATAAACATCGGTGACTTCTAAATCCTTTGTTAATTCCGGGTTTAACAAGTCTTTTTCAATGTATTCCCTCAGGATATTTTCTTTTTTCCTCATCCATTAAAACGTTTTCTGCTAAGATTGGTGAGAAACATAATGAAAGTCTGTCAGGAACTCCTGGAGTACACATTATAAGCAACTCAGAACTTGCTTTTCTTGTTTCTTCTTGCCTGTAGCTTAATAGAGTATTTCTTTCTGTAAGCTAATGGAGTAACATAACTGCTTAAACCTTGTTTTGTAAAAACTTCCTGATGGAATTCCTAAACTCTGTTAAAAAAAAAAAAAAACAACTTTCTGATTAATTCAAAACTGTTAATCATAATTAAAAGCTACCAATCAAAGAGTTTGGTGTGTTTGACTTTAACCATTTGTCCAAATAACATTTATTAGGTAGTGCTTGAGACCCCCAGTTCAGGAGATAGATAGACTTGGGGTAAAATTGTGGTTCTGCCATGAACTAGTTTTGTGGTCCTTGACATGGTATTAAAATGCTGCATAACTAAGTTTTCTGACTTGAAAATGAGGAGAGTAAATAGAGCCATCTCATAGGGTTATTGTGAAATTTAAATAAGATAAGGCTTATAAAATATTTAGCTGACAGATACATCTGAGCTTCATGCATATTAAATATTGGCAACAAATTCACAATGATCTTTGGCTCGGAGTGATAACTTAGGCATGTGACAGAGTACTGTTTCCAACACCTCATCTCACATGTTTATGATGCACCACCACTCTGAGTAAACACAGAAAATCAGGGCAAATAGAGCCTCTTATTTAGGCAAATGCTAATCTGAGATTCTATTGACATCTCAATAGAATTTATGGTCCTTTGAACATAATTTATCTATTATTACATACATTAAAACAGATACTAGAAGATTAACATAAAAATGGATGGTCTTCTATAATTTTCTTTCAGAAACTTTTCAGGGTGGCTTTGGAAAATATTTAAATCTAAAAATTCCCACAATAACTCTAATGACATGCTTAATATCTCTTTTTCAATTTAACACGTATACTCCTCTAATCAGGATTGCAGGATGTCAAAATGTTTTAGATATCCAGAATATAATATACCTTGAAATGTTTTACAGATTTTTTGGCCTGCTGCAAAGGAACGGGTCGAATTATGTAAATTAGCTGGGAAGGATCCCAATGTAAGTATGAAACTTTAAAAATTATCTTTATGAAACTGGTACTGATATAATAGTAAAAATTTGTATTAAATTTTTTTGACTTAATGGCATTAGTGTATTATTTTTAAGAGTAAATTAACACATTCTCTGTAAAGATTAATGTATATAAAATATTTCTATCTTGCCAAAAGCAGTGGTATTATTCACAAAAAATCTAGAAATTTAGAAATACTGTACTTTCTAATGTATTAATTCCGAATATCATTATTTTCTTCACAAAAAATGATTAGGGACACATTAGAATATTCAAAAATAAACCATCTGAAAATATTCTATTTCTAGGAATGTATATTTTTTGTTTATGTATCTGTATTTTGTAAAGGTGCATAAAACCATCAGTTATTTCACCATCACAAAAATATAATTGATATTTAATTTCATTTGAATTTAAATAAAACTTACAGTACCTAGAAGAATTCTTTTATATGGTGACATTGTAGAGATAACAGAAAGAGAATGAATGGCACAACATTGTGGCACAACAATCAGAAATAATTTACTATAAAAGTCAATAATAGTTACATGAAATAACAAGATAAATTCCTAATATAAACTAGTTTAAGCTACCTTAAGGAACAGCAAAAACCCTTAGGTATGACTAAACCATTTTTCTTTGGCGTGGTCCTGTCTAGATTGCATTTGCACTAACTGTCCAAGTTGTCCTGAATGCTTCCCAAAATTGTTACCTGATTTGTTTCCAACAATGACAGAAGAGTGCTGTGGCCCTGACTGCCTTCTCTACTCATCTGAGTACTCTAATTTAGGCCACATGCTCTGTGTTCTGCCTTGACTTCTTGCACTGCGATAATGTGGAGAATTGCTGTTTTTCGGCAAAATAAGTCACATCTTGTGTGTAACTCAAGAAGAAAAGAAGTTCGTTAAACCTTGGGCAGAAACATGGATATCTTGAGGCTTCTTTTGCAACATCTTCTAATGTTACCTCTAACCACAATAACACATGAATATTAAGCTGAGAACTACCTTTATGTTTAATAATAACAAATGGTTATTATATGAAAGCATAATTAGATTTAAAAACCTCTCTATCAATGTGATAGAAGTAAAACAATATGACACGTGATGCTCAGAAGACTAAGAATCTGAAACAACAGGTTAGTTCATTAATTTACTCAACAAATATTTTTAGAGAACCTAAATAAGTGCATAAATATATATATGAAACTGATAAGGTGTCTGTGCTTATAGAGTTTTCAATCTAATCGGGGCTACAGATATTACTCAAATGATGGCATACATAGTTATAGTACCACAAAACAAAATAATCAAAATGAAACAAAAGCTTGTGGTCATTCTTGATTTTGTATTCAGTTAGTGTTAAACATGATCCTTTCAGGCACATTTATGTTAGTAGAAATATATTATGAAGTGTTAATATCAAATGCAGTGGGAAACAGTTTTTACATTTATTTCATTAGAAATAAGAGAGATTAAACTTTTCTAGAACACATTCTTCTTCCTCATGTGGCTTTAATATCTTCACCCTATTCAGTATTCCAACGCTGAAAAGGTGCTGTAAAAGCATCAATACTTTATTGAACTCATGGGGAAAAAATGTTTTCGTTATGAGAGTTTTCAAAAGTATTTTGTTGAATGAACAGTAGAAGCATGGCATAACCATATGAACATTTTTATATGTGTGTTGCACCAGTATTAAGTGTATGATAAGGAGGCAAGAAGGAAAAGGATGTTTTCAAATGACTCCAATAAATTATTGTCAATTTTCTCATGGAGTAGACAGATGAGAGATAAACACTCAAGGTCAAACAATCAGTGAAGGTTTAAATTGTGACAGTGTTCTCACTTCGCTATGTTTACTAATTCTAGTTATATAGTAACTTAATTGCTCTTCTTATTAAAGCTAAGGGTGATAAACTATTCTGGAAGTTGTATTTGAGCATGTAGGACACTGTATATTGAACATATTTTTCCAATTCAGTTATATTTGTGAGCTAGTAACCACCTCTAACTTTTAAACACATCTGCAGCTAACCCAGGATTAGAGATTTGAGGAGCTTTTCTCTTTTTACTGAACACTATAAAGTTTCATGTTGAATCATGTAGGGATAATACAAGTCTTCATCTCTTCATTTTTGTTTTGTGTTTTTAAGATAATGTTCTATTTTAGAGTCACTAATTATGGCTAATATTTTCACAGCAGTTACCACATTCAAGGGACTGCTTTCAATGCTTTACATTTATAATCTCATTTAATTCTTACAACACTATATGCTAGATTTTATTATTATTCCCTAGTTTCTGGATGAGAAAATTAAAGCTAGAAAAATTAAATGACTTGCCCCATATCACACATCTGGTAAATAGTGAAACCAAGAATTGAATCCAGAAGTCTTGCCCCACTGTCTGTGCTCTTACATAACTCTATAAAATCTACATATAAGGTCTAAAAGCTATATCCCTCAAATCATTTCTCTCTTTAGTATCACCATAATGTAGATCCCCATTGTGAACAACATTGCATAGATTTTGTTCAACATACTCTGTGGTTTTATTGACATCGTTTATTACCTTTGGCATTACCCTCCTGCCTCCCTTCTCTCTAGTAATTTTTACCTACTTCCCAAGAGTGTGTTTAGGATTAACAAGTGTTTAGAAAGACTGTCTCTTTACACAAAGGTACTATATAACTGCAAAATAGTGAATTATTTACCCTAATGAAAGTTACCTAATTGGGGTGGAGAGGCAGTGGAAGATTAGGAAACAAAAGGAAACTATTCCCCTTTTTGAACACAGTCCCCATTTTAATCCAAGGAAGGTAAGAGGTGACAGGAAGATATTTGGTAGTATTTTCCTTCTCTTTAGAAGAAAGATATTCAAAAGAAAGTCACAAAAGAAATGCCTTTAGTCCTGAGTATGTAAGTGTGGGTTAAACAGCTTAGTTCTGGCAAAAGACAGCACAGGGTGAGGGCAGCCTGAGCTGTTTGTCAGGTTAACCGCAGAGGTGCACAGCCTTGTCAGTAGAGATGGTGAAAAGTTAAAGGATCTTCCAGCTATAGAGTTCTATGACTATATTCTTTTTTTTTTTTTTTTACTTTTTAAGAAAGTCTAAAACAAAGTGTTCATTGTAGAAATTTTGTAAATTATATATAAGAAAAAAAGGAAAACAAGTCATTTGTAAATACCTCCTCCCTCATGATCACTACCCAGAGACAGTTGGTGACATTTTGATGTTTATTCTTCTATCTTATCTATTTACTATTTTTCAGAATGAAATCATTGTATATATAATCCCTTAAAACATTTTTTTTTTGCTTCGCAGATTGCCACCAGCATTTTCCCATGTCATTAAATTTCTTTTTATAACACTACTTTTAATAGCTACAGTGAATTCCCTTACACATTATTTCGTCAATCCCCTATTGTTAGAAGTTTGGTACATATCCAGTTTTTACTATTGAAAATGATGCTGTACATGAAAAGACTTATATAAAAACATTGTGAACCTCTCTGTTTATTAAGTAGACTTTCACTGGTTAAGGACATAAAAATTTTTATACACATATTGCCAAATTGCCCTCCAAAAAGTTTATGCCTCATATGCTCTAAATAGCAGTACAAGATAATGAGAGGGTATATTTCCCCATTCCCTTACTAATCTCAGATCCAACATGCAGTTAGTGTTTAC